AAGAGAACCCATGTGGGGGAAAATGTGGCTGCTGTGGGCTGACCTGAGGCCCGTACTCTGTAGCAAGAAGTCTACTCCGAAGGTACCTGTGATGACCCAGCCTCTTGCTCACTCCCTTGCCCAGGGAACCCCACTCCCACTCCCCATGCCAACACCCTGGCTTATCAGGAAACATAGCTCTGAACCAGAGTCAGGAACCAGGCCCTGACATCCCAGCTGCATCACTAATCACTGACTGCCCTTGAGTAAGTCCCTTCTCTCTCTAAGCCTCACTTTCCAACTCTGGATAAGGGGTGGGGCTTAGATTGGAGACTACCTAAGAGCCCTTATAGCTTTAAGAGTCCTTACACAGCATAAGGTAAGGGTTAAGGGTGTGGAGTTGGACCCAGACACCTGGCCCACCTGTGCTGCTTGCTAGCTATGTGACCTTGGGTTGGGCAACTGACTTAACCTCTCTGAACCCGGACTTAATCATCTGAAAATTGGAGATAACAAACCAAGGTTATTGGAGGGGGGGGAATAGCTAATATATGTAAAGAGCTTAGTACAACGCCCAGCACTTAATAGGCACCCAATATGCATTAACTAATACTATTCTAAGTTCTTAGGCAGGCCCTTGCACTTGGGGTTTTCTACCCACCGAAGTGGTTCCCTGGCACTTCCCACCTGATGTTGAAGGTGGAGCCGAAAAAGGGCCGACGAGACTGGGCAGAAGCGGCTGTATAGGGGGGATGTGGTTCTGGCTCATTCCAGTACATATCTCGCTCCATCGGTGGCAGGTCCTGGTGCATCTCATCTACAGCCAACAGGGACACCTGGTCGTCGGGGACAGAAGGAGAAGTCCAACAGAAAGGTCAGCCCAAGCAGGACCATGAATTTGCCAGGTGACTTGGAGAGGTCACTTCTCTCTCTCTGGGCCTCAAGTTTCCCTTCCTGTGAAATGGAGAGACTGATGCAGCCTGTAGCCTCAAAAGTTAGGCTGAGAATCCTGTGAGTAAATGGTTGGGCAATTCACTGTGAGGCCTCCCTGCAGAACTGTGGGGCCCCCTCCCTGGGTCCAGTTTGGGGAGGGGCCATGGGACAGGCTCTCTTCCTCCCCTCATACCTGCAAACTCCTGTCGACAATCCAGTTGGTCTCAAAGTCATCATCATCCTCTCCGAACGGGTTGATGAGCTGCTCTGCCACCTTGGGGGTAGGTGAGGCTCTGGAAATCCTCAGGTGGAACCCCTTGCAGCCTTGCTCCCACCCTTAAACCTTGGCTCCTGCCATGTCCACCTCTCCACCCGCCTCAGTGATGCCCTTCTCGCCTGACCACCACTGTCTCCAAAGCCACTATGTAGGGACCCTCCTCTCCCAGCTGGCCATGACTCCCTGGGCCACAGCTGGCCTTGTCCCAGGGAGGCTCACCTTCAGCCAGCCAGCATAGAAGAGGAACTGCAGGAATGTGAAGAGGGGCACAACGAGGTCCATCTCGTGGCCGGGGTAGGCCTTGGCTGGGTTCAGAAACTGCCGCCCAATCAGGCAAGCCAGGAAGAAGCTGTATACCGCCACGGTCACCACCTGGGAGGGGAAGGAGGTGTCGGCAGAAATGGGCTGCGTGGGGACCGTGGGATCAGGAAGCTCCCTAGGCGGGGAGGACAGGTCTTGTTCTGACTTGCACACTTGTGTGGCTTTGGGTCTCTGTGGTCTCCTCTTTAAAATGGGGATGATCACACTGCCTCCACCACCTGAACCAGGCAGGGACCTGGACTCTCTGAACTTGGCACTAGAGACAACCTGCAAAGTCCAGACCTGACTCCCAGGGTGTGAGCCTCTAAGTGAGCCCTTCCCACCATAGGCTGCTTCCCGGGTCCTCCTCAGTTTCCCAAAGGGGCAGCTTCACCAGCCTACTCCTCACCTGAGTGTACACCAGTGGGATACTGATCCAGTCGTAGGCATACAGCTGTCCACACTGAGTACGCAAGGTGTTCATTTCCTAGGGGGGCAGGAGGGAAGGTTGGGCCTTTGACCATCACCTGCTCTCCCAGGCTCACCCCCCAGCTCTTCCCCAGATACCAGGGTGTCGTGCTCATGGTCCAGCCCTGGCTGTGTGGTCATGGGCAGCTCACTTAACCTGTCTGTGCCTCAGCCTCCTCAATATCAAAAAGGAACCAGTATCTCAGAGGTTCACTTTAGAGAGGGGAGGGGAGGGGAAATTGGAAAGGGGCCACCTTGGGCTATGGAATCCTGTTGGAAAAGATCCTACAGTCCCAAGGTAGGCTCTGGGGAGACCCTCAGAGGCTCAAACTTCCTCTTTGCAGAAAACCTGTTCCACGTGGGGCATGACCCTCCCCGCTCTGCAGCAGCCCCATGTCTGTAGCGGGCTTACGTTTAGCAGGCTCTGGAGCAGGACGGGGTCCCGGATTCGACCTCCAATCCAGGCCTTCGTTGACAGGTTGGCAAACCACACCCAGGGCATCCAGAATGAGTTGTGTGGCAAGCTCAGTTTTTGTAAGTGCTTGTGTTCCGAGGGGGTCATAAAGCCTGAGGGGTAGAGTGGAGAAGACAGTGGGTAGGGGAACCTGCAGAGGGGGTGGCTGGCCAGGCCCTGCTGGGTGGGACCCAGAGTTCAAACCAAGTCCCTGCTGAGCCCATAGGGACGTCAGAGCTCCTTTGCCATCCTCTTTCTTTCAACAAATTATCACTGCGTGTCTACTATGTGCTGCTCTGGGCTGAGTACGTGAGAGGGATCTGGCTTATTAATCAGGATCAGGTCAGTCAAGGCCAGAGAGTGAGACTGCTGACGTACAGACTGGAAACCGGAGAACAGGAAGGGGAAGGGCAGTTCCCAGTTCCCAAAGCCCCACTCTGGCCCTCAACCCTCCCTCTTCCCTCATCCCTCAAGAGGCCTTAGCCCTATCTCAAAGCCCTATCATTCTAGAGTCTGTTCCTGGCCTCTCCCCACCTTTAGACCCCTGACTTCGCCCCGCCCAATTCAGGTCCGCCCCCCCCCGCCCCCCCCGCCATCCCAGGTCTCGACCCCACTCCGCTCCTGGTCCCACCCAATCCTCAACCCTGGGGCCTCTGACTCCACCCATCTGCAGCTCCGGCCCCGCCCTTGTCAGCCTCTGGCTCCGCCCACTGCATCGCCCGGCCCCGCCCACCTGCTTTCACCAGGTGTTGGGGACTGGGAAAGCGTTTGTAGACCGCAGCACTGACGCTACGCAGGATGAGCACGTTGCCCAGGTTGGCGTAGCGCATGAGCGTGCGCCGCAGCAGCCGGCCCTGCTCGTCCTTGCCCTCGACGAAGCACGACACCAGGTTCATGAGGCGGTCGGGCCATGGTAGGTTCTCATACTGGTTCCACCAGCGGGTCACGACCAGTGTCACGTAGAAGCCTGGGCAGGAGGAGCGGGAGGGGGGCGGGGGCGCGAGGGGCGAAGACCCACGCTGCGGCCAGAGCCCTGCGAGGGCGACGCCTCGGTTTCTCCATCTTTCTAATGGGGCCGGGCCCAGCACCAACCCTCCTGGAGGGCGCTCGGGAAGGGGAGACCATCAGAGCTTCGCATGAAGGCACGAGAGACTTGAGTTCTCTCTCTGGCCCCGCTTGCTTTCCCAGAAATCCGCCAGATACCTCCCCTCCTGCGCAAGGCTCCAGAGACTACTGTAATGTCGGCGCTGCCCTCAGAAAGTGGGGTCTTAGCAGAAACTAACACAGCAATGTAAAGCAATTATACTTCAATAAAGATGTTTAAAATAATAATAATAATAAAATTTTAAAAAAGAAAGTGGGGTCTTGAGTGCTAACAGCAGGACAGCCTTCCTGATGTCTAACTTCAGTCCCTCTGGCTGCAGGCTCCCCGTTTCCCTGAACCACCGAGAGGCACTGACATGCCACTGGCCTTCCCCAGCTAGCTCTTCATGATCTGCCTGTCTGAAGCCTGGAGCAGTCACTGGGACCCCAACACGCGGAAGGGGGAGCTCACCCAGCACGAAGGAAATGGGGATGAGCTGGATGTAGCTGTTGCAATACAGAGTCAGCTTCTCAAAAATCACCTGCTGATCATCCGTGAGGGCCATCCTGGGGGAGGCGGGGGGTGGGGGGAAAGATGTGTAGATACTGGGAGGAGATGGCTGAGACCGGTCCCAGGTCCAGCCAGGCCTGAGCCAGGTCCCCCTCTTTCTCCCGCTGCCCCGAAACCCCAATGGGCCCTCTGCTGCATGCCTGGAGGAGAAACCCTCAGGAGGTTTTCTGTGAGGTGGAGGAAGGAAGGTCCTGCTGGAGGGGTCGG